GACCTCACGTACCCTCTCAGCCTTCTGGCTCGCTACGTGGCTCCCAGTAGACACGGAAAGGTGCGCTTGGAAGCTGCGAAGAGGGGAGTGTGTTACTTGTGCAGTACATCGGGCATGGGGCTTGTGCTTGGAGGACAGGGTTCAGTTGTTCTCACCGGTCACTCAGACGCTTCTTGGGTTGACGACGAGACGACTCACCGGTCGACACAGGGTTAGAGTTTCAGCCTTGGCACCGGTTTCGTCTCGTGGAGATCCACTCGCTCATCTTTTGTAATTTATTCTAGCAGTGAGGCCGAGATTTACGCTGGGGCTATGGCTGCACAGGAGCTCCGCTTGGCTGACCTACCTGCTGACCGACTTGGGTGAGTAGCCTCGTTCTCCTCTAATTCTGTATGTCGACAACAAGGCCATGATTCCCTTATGTCAGGACCAGAGACTGGAGCATAGAATGAAGCACATTGCTCTTCGTTACTTCCTCACGCGAGAGCTGCAGCAGCGTGGTCAGCTTCGTCTTGCTTACGTGGCCAACACTGCTGATGTCTTCACCAAGACCCTTGGGTTTGGTGATCATCAACGTTTCTGCATTGCTCTTGGGCTTGTGCCCACTTTGCCTCACCTGCTTGTCTCTTGATCTTGCCTTTCCCTTGTTGTACACTGATATACTACTTGCATACTTGCATGCTTACACTTGCTGCTGTTCGGTGTACTACTGTTGTTATTATAAACCCCGCATGTGAACTGGCCTTGTGGCCGCTTGCTTGTGCTCGGAATGCGTGGTGATCTTAAGATCCACCATGAGCTTGCTCTGGCTATCCCCCACTTTGCCTATGGGGGTGTGTCAAACATAATATGTTTATCTTGTACTAGGTTGTAGTGGGTTTAGCCTTAGGGGCTACACAATATCTCTCAACATTGTACTTTTGACCTAATGCTATCATTCCTGTTTTCTGTACTAACAGGGCCTTGTCCGACTCGGGTTCAAAGACGAATTAATTGAACGCGGATACGCCCGGCAGCAGGAGCGTGAAAACGGGTTGATTTCCTATCACGGATGGAGCCGGTGGATTTGAAGGAGAAAGAGGAGCAGGAGGCTCCGGAGGAGGAGGGGCACATGGTGCAGGTGGCGCTGGTGGCAGTGGTTGCTCAAGTGCTCTGCCACTAAACTACCCATCAATATTTTAAGAGACAGTGTGCCTGGCAAATCTTGCCATAGCTTTTGTAGCCAGGCGGGGGGGAAGAGAGAAAGTCGAAAGGAATAAAGAATGGGGTGCACAAATGGACCACAAGAAGAGACCCCGTCTGTGAGGCGGCTTAGAATCCTCGTCGGCGATAGACGAGAATGCTGACTATCAGAATCCCAGCCACTCATCATTGGGATAAAAAAGCTTGTTTGTGTAGCAGGTGAGTGCGCCCATAACCCCCAAGGCCAACGTGCCTGTAACCCTTCTCTAGGATCAATCGGGGATCTCAAGTGCTCTTCTGACACCCCCCCATACTGGGATGCCCGAGGTGCACACTGGGATTCGAACCCGAGACCTTTGCTCTGATACCATGACAAAATCCCAACCACTAACCACTGGGATAAAAGGGCTTGTTTGTGTTGCGAGTGGGTGCGCCCATAAACCCCAAGTCCAAAGTGTCTGTAATGTCAAACTCATATCATATAGCTTGTCTAGGCTATAGTTGGGTAGACACTATGGGGTACAGTTTCCTAGGGATTCCTACTTGTACCCAGCCTTGTGCTAGTTCATTCATTCCTCATTCTTCACATGGTATAGAGCAGGTTCCCTAGTGGGAACGCTTCCTTGGGCCCACCACTGAAATCTTTTTCTGACCGGAGCGTCAGTCGCTCCTGCCCGAGGCGCGCCTTTTTCGCCGCCCTTTCCAGGCCCCTAGTGGTCCCTAGCGGACTCGTCACCGCCCCTACGCGACCCCGTCGCCGCCCCTAGCGGCCCCGTCGCCGCCCCTACGCGGCCCCGTCGCCGCCTCTCACCCTACGCGGCCCCGTCGCCGCCCCTACGCGGCCCCGTCGCCGCCCCTAGCGGCCCCGTCGCCGCCCCTAGCGGCCCCGTCGCCGCCTCTCACCCTACGCGGCCCCGTCGCCGCCCCTACGAGGCCCCGTCGCCGCCCCTAGCGGCCCCGTCCCTGCTCTTAGCAACCCCGTCGCCGCCTCTCACCCTACGCGGCCCCGTCGCCGCCCCTACGCGGCCCCGTCGCCGCCCCTAGCGGGCCCGTCGCCGCCCCTAGCGGCCCCGTCGCCGCCTCTCACCCTACGCGGCCCAGTCACTGTCGAAATATAATTGACATATTTTATAACTGCTTGTAGTTGTAGTGTAGTTATTGTGCTTTGTAGGTGGTGCACCAATTTCATTTGCTTTCCTTGTATAAGTCTTGAAACTTTGTAATGCAAACCACTTTTCCCTTTTCCAACTTTCTCGATACCTAGCCTAGGCTCACAACTCACTCGACATACTAGTTGGGCCTAGGCTCCTAAGCCTAGGCCCTAGTTAAAACTCACTTACCTTTCGTTCATTTTGACATGGTATCGAGCAGGTTCCCCTGTGGGAACTGTGCTTAGGGCTCACCACCACTACCTCGTAACTTTTTTTTTCTGCCCGGAGCGCCCTCCGGGCCCTTTCTCTTCCTTTTTTTTTTCGATCTGCCCTAACAGCCCCTTGCGCCTGAGCGCCGCCCGCCCTAGCGCCATAGCGCCGCCCGCCCTAGCGCCCGCCCTAGAGCCCGAGCGCGGCCCGCCCTAGAGCCTGACGGCCGCTCGCCCTAGAGCCTGAGCGCCGCCCGTCGCCGCCCTAACGCCCGTGCGCCCGACGCCCGCTAGCCGCCCGACGCGCCGCCCGTGCACAGCCCGTGCGCCGCCCGTGCGTCGCCCTCAGCAGCTCGACGCGCCGCCCGTGCAGCCGCCCGTGAGCTGCCTGTGCGCCGCCCGACGACCCGCCCGGGCAACTGCCCGTGCTGCCGCCCGTGCAGCCGCCCGCGCACCCGCCCGTGCAGCCGCCCGCGCACCTGCCTGTGCAGCCGCCCGCGCACCCGTCAGCGCCAGCCGCCGTTCGTGAGCCGCCCGTGCAGCCGCCCTCAGCCGCCCGTTCAGCCGCCCGTGCAGCCGCCAGTGCCGCCCGTGCAGCCGCCTGTGACGCCGCCCGTGAGCCGCCCGTGAGCAGCCCGTCTCGACGCCCGCGCCGCCCGTGTCACCCGAGCCGCGAGCGCCGCCCGAGCAGAGAGCCGCCCGAGTCGCCCGTGCCGCTGACGCCCGAGCCGCCCGAGCCACCCGAGCCGCCCGAGCCGCCCGAGCCGCCCAAGCCGCCCGAGCCGCCCGAGCCGCCCGAGCCGCCTACGGTGCTGAGCGCCGATCCTTTGGGGCTGCTGCTACTCCTGGGCCGGCGGAGTTGCTGAGCTGCCGTGTTGCTGTCCTACTGAGCTGCTCGGCCCTTCCTCTCTGGTGAGACTGTCGGCTGCTATCACGGCCACCCCTAGTGTCCTGGCCTTTGACGCTGAGGGTCGCGCCATTGACTTTGCGGTCTGGGTCGAGGACCTGCAGCTGTACTTGCAGTGCAATTCAGTTGATGACATCTCTCTCTTTGACTTTGCCTCTGGCGCTGTCCCTGCCCCTCCTGCTGACGCTGAACCCACTGTTCGCTCCAAGTGGGCCACACGCGATGCTGCTGCACGTCTTGGTGTGCGTCGCCACCTTCCTTCCTCTGAGCGTGCACACTTTAGTCAGTGCAAGACCGCTCAGGCCTTGTACGACGCTGTAGTTGCGCGCTACTCCTCCCCTTCCACTAGGTGGCGGGTGTGAGGCAACCAGCAGCCGTGTGGGGGAGGGGAAGGAGGAGAGGTGGAGGGACGGCTGCTGGTTGCCTCACACCCACCACCCCGGTGCCAATCCCCCTTCTCCCCCACACCCTCCCCCCCAGCGGCAGCTGCAGCAATGGGAATGAAAGGAGGAGGAGGGGAAGGAGGAGGGTGAGGAGATGGAGTGGGTGACCATCCAGAGTTAGCCCGCCTGCAGTACCTGCTGTTGCTTGTTATTTTGCATGGTGTACCCCCTCAGGGGGCGTAACTATACTTCTACCTACAAGCACTTATGGGGGCGTGTCGAAATATAATTGACATATTTTATAACTGCTTGTAGTTGTAGTGTAGTTATTGTGCTTTGTAGGTGGTGCACCAATTTCATTTGCTTCGCTTGTATAAGTCTTGAAACTTTGTAATGCAAACCACTTTTCCCTTTTCCAACTTTCTCGATACCTAGCCTAGGCTCACAACTCACTCGACATACTAGTTGGGCCTAGGCTCCTAAGCCTAGGCCCTAGTTAAAACTCACTTACCTCTCGTTCATTTTGACAGTCACCGCCCCTATGCGGCCCGACGCCGCCCCTAACGGCCCTGTCGCCGCCCCTAGCGGCCCCGTCGCCGCCTCTCACCCTACGTGGCCCCATCGCCGCACCTACGCGGCCCCGTCGCTGCCTCTACGCGGCCCTGTCGCCGCCCCTAGCGGCCCCGTCGCCGCCCCTAGCGGCCCCGTCGCTGCTCCCCTACCTACGCGGCCCCATAGCCGCCCCTAGTGGCCTCGTCGCCGCCCCTACGCGACCCTGTCGCCGCCCCTAGCGGCCCCGTCGCCGCTCCCCTCCCTAAGCGGCCCCGTCGCCGCCCATAGCGGCCCCAACGCCGCCTCTACCGAGCAGCCCAACAGCAGAGCCGCCCAGCCGCTCAGCAACCGAGCCGCCGAGCAGCCGAGCGGCCCGACAGCCGAGCCGCCCGACAGCCGAGCCGCCCAGTAGCCGAGCCGCCGAGCAGCCGAGCCGCCCAACAGCCGAGCCGCCCGACACCCGAGCCGCCCAGCAGCCGAGCCGCCGAGCCGCCGAGCCGCACAGCAGCCGAGCCGCCGAGTCGCCCTGCCGTTGAGCCGCTACTGTTCCTACAGGCACGCCCCGACCCTACCTACTCGGACTTGTGAGATCACTTCCTGTTAGGCCACTGCAGTCATGGCTACCCCTAGTGTTCTTACCTTTGATACTGAGGGTCGTGCTGTTGACTTTGAGGTCTGGGTCGATGACCTCCAGCTGTTCCTACAGTGCGATAGGGCAGACGGACTCTCCTTGTTCGATCTCACCTCTGGTGCCTCCCCTGCCCCGCCTGCTACTGCTGACAGCACTGTTCGCTCTCAGTGGGCCACACGCGATGCTGCTGCACGTCTTGCTGTGTGTCGCCACTTACCGACCACTGAGCGCGCGCACTTTAGCCAGTACAAGAGTGCTCAGACCTTGTACGACGCTGTAGTTGCACGCTACTCTTCCCCTGCCACTGCTGCACTGAGCCGCCTCATGCTACCGTACCTCTTCCCTGACCTTGCTGCCTTCCCCCCAGGCGCTGACCTCATTACGCACCTCCGCACTAGTGACACTCGCTACCGCGCTGCGCTTCCTGCTGAGTTCTGCGCCAAGAGACCCCCCCCCCCATGTACATCACCCTCTACTACATAGTCACCCGGCTCCCTGACTCTCTTCGCGTAGTCAGGGACCACTTCCTCTCAGTCTGCCCCACCACACTCACCGTTGACCTCCTCGAGGAGCGCCTCCTAGCAGCAGAGAAGAGCATAGTCGCTGTAGGAGCCTCTCGTGGTGACCCTCGCACCCCCATCTTTGAGGGGTGTTCCCCTTCCCCCCTCTTGCCCTCTGTTGCTTCTGCTGCTGCGGCCGACCTCGTTGGTTTCGAGTCGGTCGGCGCGGCGTCTGCCCCTAGCAGGAGACGCCGCACCAGCAAGGGCAAGGGGGGCAAGGGCACTGGAGGGGCTGGCGAGGGCGGTGGAGGTGGTGGTGGAGGCAGTGGAGGGGGTGGGGATGGTGGTGGGAGTGGTGGCGGGGGTGGAGGTGTCGGTGGCAGCAGCGGAGGCTGCGGCAGTGGCGGAGGGAGCGGAGGCGGCGGAGGTGGCAGAGGCGGCGGAGGTGGTGGAGGCGGCGGAGGTGGCGGAGGCGGCGGCGGCGGCAGCGGTGGAGCTGGTCGTGGCTCTGGGCAGAGGAGTGGGTCCGGTGGTGGTCACCGCCAGCAGCAGCAGTGCAGTCGTGAGACCCTGTCCCCTCAGCAGCTTCGTGAGTGGTACGGTGGGCGTCAGCGAGGTGGGGGTACTGGTCCCTGCACCTACGTCCTCCGTACAGGCGACCGTGCTGGTCAGCAGTGCGGGGGCCCGCACTCCACCCAGCGCTGCTTCGGCCGCCTGACGGACGCGTGGCGTCACCAGTTCTCTGACGCCACTGAGATCCATCGCTGGGACGTTCTGTCTAGGGCTGGGGTTGCTATCTTTGATCTTGATTATGATGCTATTCTTGCTGCCATGTATGCTGTGTCTACTAGTGATAAGGGTGACTGTTACGTGTGTGTTCCGCCTGACCCGGGCATTGAGGCTGCTGCTCTAGGTGCTGGTGAGGCTGCTGCTCTAGGTGCTAGTGCGTCTGCTGCCCCAGGTGCTGCTGAGTCTGCTCTCTCAGGTACTACGTCGGCTCAGGCCTTGCACACCTTCACCCTTGACTCAGGTGCTTCCCGCTCCTTCTTTTGAGACCGCACCACACTTAAGCCGCTTTGTCGGCCAGTTGCAGTCTCCCTAGCGGACCCCTCTGGGGGTCCTGTCCTTGCTAGCTTCTCCACTGTCTTACCGTGCCCGGCAGCCCCCTCTGGCACCTTGTCAGGTCTCTACCTCCCCTCGCTCTCTACGAACTTGGTGAGTGGAGCTGATCTACAGGATAGGGGGGTTGACCAGTTCACCACAGTCTTCCCCTTGCACAGCAAGGGTGACGTCACTGAGGTGTTGATCGACTGGATCCGCGCAGCTCGTCTCCACCTCAGAGAGAGTTTCGGCTCGGACTTTCCTGTTCTGCGTCGGCACTCTGACAGAGGAGGGGAGTTTTCCTCTGCCCGTCTGGGAGCCTTCTGCCGTGCACAGGGCATCCGCCAGACCTTCACGCTTTCGGCCTCTCCACAGCAAAATGGGATTGCTGAGCGCCGCATTGGCATGGTCATGGACGTCTCTCGTACGTCCATGATCCATGCGGCTGCCCCCCATTTTTTGTGGCCATATGCGGTTCAGTACGCAGCGCATCAGCTCAACCTCCAGCCCTGGGTCTCCTTGCCGGAGACCTCCCCCACCTTGCGGTGGACCGGGAAGGCTGGCGATGCGTCTGCGTTTCGGGTCTGGGGATCTCGGGCGTTTGTCCGCGACTTGTCTGCGGACAAGCTGTCCCCCCGTGCTGTTCCCTGCGTCTTCCTTGGCTTCCCTCCTGACGCGCCTGGTTGGCAGTTTTACCACCCCACCTCGCGTCGTGTTCTGTCCTCCCAAGACGTCACCTTTGACGATTTGGTGCCTTACTACCGTCTCTTCCCCTACCGCACTGCGCCCCTCCCCCCGCCGCCGCTCTTCCTTGCGCCAGGTCCTCCCCCAGTAGACCCCCTCCCCCCTCAGGGTCCTGCCTTGTTAGGTGTGTCCCAGGTAGACGCAGTCGAGCCTGTCGAGGTAGCTGTTGACTCTGGTGCTGCTAGAGGTGCTGTGCCTGCGGGTGTCGGGTCTAGGGGTGCTGAGCCTGAGGGTGCGGAGCCTAGGGGTGCTGAGTCTGGGGGGGTGCTGAGTCTGGGGGTGCTGAGCCTGGGGGGTGCGGAGCCTAGGGGTGCTGAGCCAGGGGGTGCGGAGCCTAGGGGTGCAGGGTCTACTCTTGTGGCCACTCATGGTACTTCGTCGAGGCGGGAGCCACTCTCTCCACAGGAGCTGAGCGAGTGGTTTGCCCGGCGCTGGAGCCGTGCTGCTGGAGCTGGAGGTACTACTATTGCTGCTGGTCCCGGAGGTACTCGAACTGGCGGTGCTGGAGCTGCTGGGACTGGGGGTCCTGCTGGGGCTGCTGGAGTTGGTCATGCTGACGGTACTGGAGCTGCCGGTCCTACTGGTGCAGGAGCTGCTGGGGGTGTTGGCGCTGGTGGTTCTACAGGCGCTGGTGCTTTTGAGGGTGCTGGAGTTGGCGCTGTTGGAGCTGGAGGTACTGCTGGCGCTGGTGCTGTCGCTGGGGGTACTGGTGCTGTCCCTTCTGGTTCTGGAGGCGCTGCGTGGCCGCGGCCGTACTTCGTTCCGCTCCTTGAGCAGGTTCTTGGTCTCCCACCCTCTACTGGTCCTACTCCTCCCTTAGGGTGTCCACAGCCTATCCAATCGCAGTCACAATTACAGCCCGCCTCCCCCCTGCCTGCTCCTTCTCCTTACACTGGTCCTCCTGGAGGTCTTGCTGAGCGTCGTGAGCCTGCGTCTCGTCCTGCGTCGCCTGTTCGTACCGCTCGCACTAGTCCTCGTGCTCCGCGTCCGCGTCCTCTTGCGGTCCCAGGCACACACCAGATGGCACTGCGTCCTTCCACTGCTCCTCTGCGTGTCCCGTTGCCGTATCCTCCAGAGTCCTCTCTTCTTGTTCTTGCTAACCCTGAGTCTGACTCTCTTCGTGCTGACAGTCCTACTGTCTCGCGTCTCCTGGCCACTTTTGTTAGTGACCCTTCCTTTGAGTCCACTGCTGCGTCGGCCCTAGTTGCTGAGCTTGTCGACTTTGCTACTAGCTGTCGTCTAGACTACGCTGCTAGTCTTGTTGCTGAGTCTGAGTCTGTCTGTCCTCCATCCGTCGGGGGTGAGTGTGCTCTTAGCACGGACGTCCTTGAGGATAGGCAGGAGGAGTTCCAGTGTTTTGTTGCTGCTTTGCCTCATCTCGTGTCCACGCTGATTGCCCCTGAGGGAGACCCGGATGCACCAGACATCCCGACTCCTCGATCGTACGCTGAGGCGATCGAGGGTCCCTACTCCTCTCAGTGGCAGTTAGCCATGGACGCAGAGATGGCTTCCTGGAAGTCCACAGGCACCTACGTCGACGAGGTTCCCCCACTTGGGGCGAACATCGTCAGCGGCATGTGGATTTTCAGGGTGAAGCGCCCGCCGGGTTCTCCGCCTGTCTTCAAGGCGCGTTACGTGGCTCGAGGCTTCAGTCAGCGGCAGGGAGTTGACTACTTTCAGACCTTCTCTCCCACCCCGAAGATGACCACTCTTTGGGTGCTGCTGCACATAGCCGCTCAGCGCGACTACGAGCTTCACTCTCTTGACTTCGGCACTGCTTTCTTGCAGGGCAGCCTGCACGAGGAAATCTGGCTGCGCTGCCCACCTGGCTTTACTGGGTCGTTTCCTCCTGGTACCCAGTGGAGCCTCCGGCGGCCAGTCTACGGTCTCCGCCAGGCGCCCCGTGAGTGGCACGACACACTGAGGACTACACTTGCGGCTCTTGGGTTTGCTCCTTCTAATGCCGACCCGTCGTTGTTTCTGCGCACCGACACCTCTTTGCCGCTGTTCTACATCCTCGTGTACGTCGACGACTTGGTCTTTGCCACTGCTGACACTGCTGGACTCGCCCACGTGAAGTCCGAGCTGCAGAAGAGACACACGTGCACAGACCTGGGTGAGCTGTGCAGCTACCTTGGCTTGCAGATCACCCGGGACAAAGCACACTGCACCATTACCCTGACTCAGTCACACATGGTGTAGCACGTCCTCCAGCGCTTCGACTTTACGTACTCCTCGCCTCAGGCCACTCCTCTGTCTACTCGCCACTCGCTCTCAGCTTTGTCTTTGGATGAGTCCATAGAGCCGAGTGGCCCGTACCCAGAGCTTGTTGGCTGCCTCATGTACCTGATGACCTGCACACGACCTGACCTTGCATACCCTCTTAGCATCTTGGCACGCTATGTTGCTCCTGGGAGAAACCGGCCAGAGCACATGGCTGCAGCGAAGAGGGTGTTGCGCTAATTGTGCAGTACGTCGGGCATGGGGCTAGTGCTTGGAGGGCGACGTCGAGTGGTCCTCATCGGTCACGCTAACGCTTCTTGGGCTGACGACCAGGCTATGCAGCGCTCGTCACAGGGTTACACCTTCAGCCTTGGCTCCGGCTCTGTTTCATGGCGGTCTACTCGCTCGTCTTCTGTTCTCGGCTCCAGCTGTGAGGCTGAGATCTACGCGGGGGCCATGGCTGCACAGGAGCTACGCTGGCTCACCTACCTGCTGACTGACCTAGGAGAGCCGCCTCGTTCTCCTCCAGTTCTGTACGTAGACAGCAAGGCCATGCTGGTCTTGTGTCGGGAGCACAGAACAAAGCACATTGCTCTCCGCTACTTCCTTGCTCGTGAGCTGCAGCAGCGTGGTCAGCTGCGCCTTGCTTACGTGGCCTCTGAGGCCAACACTGCTGATATCTTTATCAAGGCACTTCAGCCTTGTGATCATCAGCGCTTCTGTACGATGCTAGGTCTTGTGCCTACTTGGCCTCACTTGCTCACTTCTTGACCTTGCTTGTACTGTGATCTTTCTATACCTGCACTTGCTTGTTTACCTTTATATATGATCTTGCATGTGAACTGGCCTTTTGGCCTTGCTCTTGTGCTTGGATTGTGTGGTGACGTTGTGATCCACCCTGAGCTTGCTTTCCTTTGCTTGACTGATCTTGTGACCTCTTGTTCTCCCCTTCTTTGCCTATGGGGGTGTGTCAAACTCATATCATATAGCTTGTCCAGGCTATAGTGGAGTAGACACTATGGGGTACAGTTTCCTAGGGTTTCCTACTTGTACCCAACCTTGTGCTAGTTCATTCATTCCTCATTCTTCACATGTAACCCTTCCCTATGACCAATCGGGGATCTCCAGTGCACCTCTGACACTGACACATGATGAGGAGCATGCGTGGCATAGATTCTGCTGCGCTGACGAGCAAAATCCGCCCAGTTTTAGAATGTGTGAGACGAAACCCCCAACCCTGCTGCGCACGCCGCAATGCAACTTCCTTATCAACTCAGCGCTGATAAGGATGATGAATTTAGAAACGATTTTGTGGCAGCAATCCGCCTCGCAAGCAGATTGCTAACATGTCTTCGTGCATGGATACATGCGATGTTAATATGTCCGCGTTCGCAATAAATAGAGCTTCCTGTAGAGAAAAAAATGTATATTTTCGAAAGTGTTGCATTTTCTAAAATTACTTATTGTGAAAGCGAAGCTGTTGTACGCAGCACAAGAAAGCATCGTCCAAGCGCTATTCTCCCTTCTTTTACCACAAAAGAAGGGGTTTCGGCCATTTGGCCCCACCCACGTTTTCATTTCAAACTTTCAAGTTCAGTTTTTGCCCGTCAAACTGGCGAAGACCCGCTCACTTCCCCGCTTCATTTTTTCCCTCAACACTTCTAACGGACATTCTAAAGCACAATGCTTCTACGATGGTGCCTTCCAGCAACAACTTTGGCGAGGCTACGAACGGGAGCGCCCGACCTATTTCCGAGTCCGGAAAAAAGTCGGGTGAACCCGACCGCCGCCCGAAGAGGAAGTCCACCGCGATTGCTGTGGTGTGGAGGTGCTGCTTGGAGGAGGAGAACCGAGCGGCACCCCTCCTGCACAGCGACAGAATCAGCAGCAGCAGCAGCGCGTGGAGCACGCGCCTGGCGAGAAGGCGCCAGACGCAGCTGACGTCACCCTTGCCGCGTCTCACGTCGCGCCTGGTGCTGGCACGC